GAACAGGCGTATGCTTAAAATTACAACCTTACTTTTATAAAAACATTTATTTTATACTTTTGTTATAGTTATAATTAATTATTCTATGCCTGGAGTGTTCTAAGACAATTTAAACGACGATATTTAGTGTTTATAATAATCAAGTAGACTTCACAAAATAGTGATATAACACAAACATGTATATACTCTACAAGATGTAAATTTATTCACCGAGGTACTGGAAAAACATGCGCAAAATGCACATATTTATGGTGGGCAGTCGTTGCCAAAATTCCAGACATGTAATGTGTTCCTTTTGAAAACTACTTTTGAAAATGCAAACATGTATGTCTAGCATTTTTGATTGTATTCGTGCACAGCAAATGATATGGCTCTTAATCAAATCTTTTAATTGAAGGCACCCGCTTTTAAATAACAAGTTTACATGTCAGTTTACAACTGACCTAACACACATTTACAAGTTTGTATCTACGATTGCATATAATACATAAGCATGTTTACGCACTTGTAGATATATATCTGTACCTGAAAAACACAAATGAAATGTAAAACTCGAATGCAGAAAATATAATCTAATAAAACGTGTTTCCAGTCGTAGAACTACTACAGTACATTTACACAGTTACATGTTTAAAATGACAAAAGTAGATTCACAAAGTTAAACGATTTGAAGTCATGCATGACGCCCCGCCCCTCTCTGAGTATTTACGATCTTCTATCACGGAAATGTACGGACAGGTATAATACCCGTCGCCTCTCTCCTATTTCTCAATAAAGTGAAGGAAAACACGGCGTCCATTGTAACTTTTTTATTTCTATAAAAAGTCCAATATTATTGGTATCAAATGAAAGATTACTTCATAAGCTTTCTATGAGTGCCTCGGAAATAAAAATGAATTAAATAGATGTATTGAATTTTTTGTCTTTTTTTTTTTAATCTGAAAATAACACTCTCGAATTGGTAGGAAAAACACGGCGTTCCCTCCAAACTTTTTTTTTATTTCGTAATATATTTTGATAATTTTTGATTGAAATAAAAGTGTGCTTCAAACGATTTATGATATATAATTATATAATGCCTCAAAATAAAAAGGAATTTAATAAAAATGAATTAACTTTTCGTTAAAAAGTTTATCATGTTACTTTCTGTAAAATAGAGAAAATAAGAATCCCTAAAGAACGCCAAAAACGACAAAATTGAGAGTGTTGCAGACCCGGTTTGATTAAGCCTGCTCATGGAAGGTTATGGAAAGAGCAAGCTATCGTCCACGCCCCCTAGCACCGGCTTAAGCAAAATTCAACATGAACTGGTACAATTTTGAATTTTGAAACATCCGAAGATGTGTTAATATGGCGATTATCATGGAACCTTCAATGTGACACGTTATTGCCATAACATGAAAAACGGCATATGATCCCCAAGTAAAAAAAAAAACATACACACTCTGAAATTCAGTAAGAGAAACATGGCGCCCCCTACTTACTTTTTTATTTCTTGGTCAATCTTGATAATTTTAGAATATGATAAACAAGATCATCAAGAAAAGGCGGCGTTGATAATTTTAGACTCAAGTAAAAAATTCTGGAAACAAAGTGATCCCTCGGAAGCATTAATCACAACAAAATTACATAAGAATTGCAGACTCGGTTTGATTGAGTCTGTACATGAGAGATAATGAATAAGTGCAACATCCCTCACGCCCTCTAGCACCGGATTGAGCGGTACTCAATTCTCAACACTTAATAGTGCTTAAGAATCCTTAATGAACTTTGTAGTGATGCCTTAAAAATGAAAATTAATTACGTAGAAGTATAAAAAAATTTTGTTTCTAACTTATCGTTGTTAATTTTTTTTCTCTTAAATCCACACTCATATATTCGGAAAAAATAACGTCGCTTCCTTTAGATACTTTATTCAAAAAGGAAAATGAATATTGAATGAAGTTAAGACCATAAGTTTTGAACAAGTATATTAAAAATCTGGAAACAAAGTGATCCCTCGAAGCATTAATCACAACAAAATTACATAAGAATTGCAGATTCGGTTTGATTGAGCCTGCACATGAGGGATAATGAACAAGTGCAACATGCCTCACGCCCCTAGCACCGGCTTGAATGGTACTCAATTCTCAACAGTTAATAGCGCTGGCATCAATGATCCCGAAATACCAGAAAAATATAACGACACTGAAGTGAAGTACGGGGCAACTTTTTACAGCTGCCACACGGCACTTGACACCTGCTGTTGTGAAGTATAAAAATCTGGATACAAAGTGATCCATAAGAATTGCAGACTCGGTTTGATTGAGTCTGTACATGAGGGATAATGAACAAGTTCAAAAAGTTTTTATTCATACTGAAAAAACCTTATTAAAGATTGTACATATGTGCTACGGATACGTATTTTCTTGATTTCGGAAAGGGAATCTCGGTGGCCGCTTTAAAATGTACTTGCATATTTTTTTTTAAATGAAATTTTTGCCAATACATTTTTCAATGATACCAATAAGAATATTGGATGTTTTTTTACATTATCAATAAAATTACTCCCTTGAAGTTGGTCATTGTTTCCCCTAAAAATTTTCAAATCGCCGATGTTTCTCAGGAAAATATGATAAACAAGATCAACAAGGAAAGGCGGTGCTCACTGAACGCAACCCCACATGATCCAGCAACAAGAACAAGTGGCAAGAAGTCCAGGCGGACCCAAACAAAACACAGGACAGGGCAATAGGCAGAGCACGGACAGGCTTATCACTAAAATTATAAAAAAATTGTAACTGATAAGAACACGATGTTAAATAATAAGGTAATGCATAAGTTATCTTCATCATAAATGGTAGAATCAGCACTTTTCAAGTGATGTTGCTAGTGACAAAACTTTTGTAACAAATGTTACATATATATGTTATGAAAAATGCCGTATGTTGTCCTTCAGTTTTATTTAAAAATATGGGAGAGGCGCCGTTTTATACCTGTCCTCAATAGAAGTTCGTAAATACTCCGAGAGGGGCGGGGCGTTATGCTTGACTTAAAATCGTTTAACTTTGTGAATCTACTTTTGTCATTTTAAACATGTTACCGTGTAAACGTACTCTTAAAGTTCTACAACTGGTAACACGTTTTCTTAAACTCTTTTTTCCGTATTCGAGTTTTACGTTTCATTTGTATATTTCAGATCTAGAAGTGTGCAAAACATGTATTGCATGCAGTGGAAGATACGATCTTGTAAACTTGTTGTCGTTTTAGATGTTAGGTCAGTTGTTGCCATATATATGTAAACTGGTTATATAAAGGCGGTAACCTTCAATTAAAAGATTGAATTAAGAGGTATGCAATAAAAATGGTAGGCATACAAGTTCGCATTTTCAAAAGTCATTTTAAAAAGGAACACTTTACATGTCTGGAATTTTGGCAACGAACGCCCTCCATACATATTGTGCAATGTGCATATGTTATAAACTAGCTACTCAGCTAATATCACTACATCTCCCTTCTTTAAAAAAATGTGCATTAATGTATAATCATCATATAAAGTCTAAATAATTCATGAGTAAATTTTATTTTTTAACACTCTTTTATATCTGCAAAATGTTCGAGCATTTAATATCTCCATAAGTATCTTTTGCATCAATATTAATTTATTTTTTTAAACCAACGTTTCGAACAGTACAACCTTGGTTTCATTTCTCGACCACTGCGTGTGCGATAAGGTAAATTATTGCCTACAAGTTTGTTTTCCTAAAATCCTAGGCTAGACCACAGGTTATCGGCGTGGGACCAAGCCCTACCCCTAAGGTACCACCCCCCAGGACCCTCTATACTACCCAAATATACTTCAATACATTCAAAGTACATGTCAATACAAAATCAAACAATTCTATCAAAAAATATAATACTGATACTATAAACTATGTAAAGGTATGTAAACTCTCCCTTTAAAATCTATGAGAAAACGTACATGGTTGTATTCTGACCTTCGTAGCTGACATATTTTTCAGCCGATTTCAGGTAACCCGGGCTTAATCGATGCAGAAATAATATACCTTTTCGTTCCCGAGTTGAATTACTATCAAACACTAAGAACAAAGGCAGCACGAGTCTCAAAACTGCCTGAAATACAAACCCCGACACGATGTGACCGAAGTATTGAATTTCGCTGTCAATGTACATTTCAACGGCAACTATGTCAGACATGCACTTTTCTTAATAAATACCTATTGTAATCAATAGAAAATGTATTTATGCAATACTCACAAGTGATGTCTTTTTCCTATTTATCGTTCAATTTCGGCGAATTCCGCCTTCATTCAGCAGCACTATTTTGTTTCGGTTAGGCGCTTCCATATTGAATCGGTGACCCGGAAACGGAAACTGAATCACTAATTTTCTCATTGGTCAATAATGGGAGGTGTGTCTTTTCCGTAAGCGCTGGTTCCCCAACTTCACCATACTTACACACACTGAAGCCGGTGGTCATTTTCGCGAACTTTAATGAACGCATCGCAACATAATAATGTCGTTGAACGTGAAACAGAATCAAGCTCTGAATTTTGTGGGCCAAGGTCACAATCTGCTAATTCTAGGCTCAGCAGGTACTGGGAAATCGTTCTTAATTAACAGTATTGTAGAAATGTGTAAACAGCTTGGGAAAACGTGTGCAGTAACAGCGACAACAGGAATTGCTTGTAGTGTGTATCCCCCTCAACTTAACCCGATGACCATTCATCGGTGGTTCTGGTATTGGTGATGGTAGATATGGGCCCTCTGAAATAAAACGTATTGTTTCAAACAATGTTAAATTTACAGATGTGTTAACTAGAGTGAAGAATACTGACGTTTTAGTAGTTGATGAAGTTGTCAATGATGAGCAAGAGATTCCTGGAATCTCTAAATGAGGTTTTGTTCATTAAAGAATGAGACATTATTTTTTGGAGGTTCTACAAGTAATTTTAGTTGGGACTTTCTTCAGTTAGCACCAGTACCTTGTGCCCGTTATAATGAAGATGGATGTATATTGTTTTGAAAGTGATGTTTTCAACCAAGCTTTCCCTCATGTTACAATTCTTACAGAGGTTGTGAGACAGAATGAAAGGGACATGATAAAGGCAATCAGGGAGATATCCATTGGAGTGGTGTCTGATGAAACAATCAAATTATTAAAAGAACTTCAAAGACCATTACAAGATGAAACCATTAAACTTTTTTCTACAAACGATTTAGTTGACGACTATAATCGTGATAGGATACTTGATTTTCCTGGCCAAATACATGAAAAAATTTCAATTGATACTGGTGATAAAAAATACTTGAAAGAGCAGACTGCACCTAGAAACCTTTGGCTTAAGATTGGAATTCCTGTGATGCTCATAAAGAATTTATCAGATCAGTTGGTAAATGGACTGAGGGGAACAGTGTATGATATACAAGAAGATGGAAAAGTACTAGTGGAGTTTCCAAATATGAAAGAGGCAACATATATAGAAAAAGTTAGGTTTGAAGGCAAGTACAAATAAAAAACTCATTATAACAGTCAGCAATAATTTACAATCATTAAAATAAAATGTAAACTCTTATATAACATGGCTAATTGAATAAAATTATACCATAAAGGCATATGTGCCATTGATATATTATCTAGAAATATTAATGCGTTTACTATGAAACGTTTTGTCTGACTTTATTTTAGTACATAAAATGTAAACCCTTTATTAATAATAATAGAATTTCAATGAACAACATACCAAACCTCAGCATATTCTTTGTGTTATTGCAGTGATGTACTCAGACATATGTATTTTGTTCACAATATTTTGTTTTTGGATTATTATGTTTATAATAACATGCAGTGCTATTTAAACTCCATTGTTCCTTTCATTTTAGTATTTGATCCAAGAAAAAATGCTGTTGTTGCAGTCAGGGAACAATATCCGCTGAAACCAGCCTATGCACTTACTATTCATAAAAGCCAGGGTATGACTTTGGAAAGGTAAATTTATAAAATTCTTTACATCTACACACAACTTGTAAATATCATTCTTATTAAGCATGGATATGTTATGTTGTTAATAAGTGTGAGTGCATTAAAGTAAAAAGATAAAATAGATAAATAGGAGTGTTAGTGTTAAATTAATTGTGTAACAGTTCTCTTGTTTGTTAATTGTAGCATTTATAACTTACACCTTTTACAACTGTTCAACAAATAGTTGCATATAAATATGACATAAGCAGATACTAAACATATAAACAATGAATGTTCATTGTGATAAAAGGAATTTGATGTATGCAAGTATTGTAATTTTAATATTAAGAAGCATTAATAAACAATATTTTATGTCTGTTGTTTTTTGTCTCTTAATTTTTCATCCTTTATTGCTTTCAGAGTTGAAGTTGACTGCCGGGACATATTCAAACCAGGTCAACTTGGTGTAGCAATGGGAAGAGCATGCACACTGGAGGGCCTGAGGGTAATAAATT